TCTTCTTTCTTTCTATCTATCTATCTATCTATCTATCTATCTATCTATCTATCTATCTATCTATCTATCTATCTATCTATCTATCTATCTATCTATCTATGTTTTTCTAAGTTCACCCAATACTGACATTTAATGTCTTGGCAGTAGTCTTCAAACAGAATAAACAGAACTTGCTTGGCTCCTTTTTTTATAAAGAAATATATTTGAACTCAAAATAATAATAATAATGCATTAAAATATTCGCTTGAGATAAATTTGAAAAAACAACAACACCAACATACAGGACACAAGAAACCTCATTCTGCCCCCTCTCTCCCTCCTCCCCCCCCCTCTCTCTCTCTCTCTCTCTCTCTCTCTCTCTCTCTCTCTCTCTCTCTCTCTCTCTCTCTCTCTCGCTCGCTCTCTGATATATCTATATATATATAGCCATGAAAGAAGCTGCATGAAGAAAACCTTGAGACCATCTTAAGCTAAGCTAAATTGACCGTCGGCATAAATGAAAAGAGCCATATTATTCTTACATATATATATATATATTTCTGCCGTAGTCTCTGTCTAAGTACCCGGTCATTGGTTAACACAAAAAGTTGGTTCGTAGGCGGATTTCAAGAGGCATACAAAAAGCAACTACATATTTAAAAATATACTTAACTTTCCCTTCGAAGAAGACGACAAGACAAGAAAAAAATACAAAAATACCTCACGCCATTTTCTGATCTATATTTCTATTTCTACCGCGGTTTAGTTCAAGGAGTCCAGACTTACCCTGAGAGAAGACGGATCAGTATCAAAGCTCAGCCTCTCCAGTACAGTACCCCCACCATGCCCACCCGCGGAAATAGACTGCAAATGGACCGTCAGTTTGTTAGTGTTTGATGAGAGTAAGTATCCAGATGTAAGGTATGCTTGGTGGCCCAGTACTATCTGAATCACGATACATGTGTTTTTGCTTGAAAAGTGCGCCGTACAGAACCAGTTCTTAAGTATTTTGTGGTACAGAGACGCAGAGGTTTCGACGCAAGACGTGATTATGTCTTTGATGCTTCTTGCATCGCCCCAGCCTTATCAACTTTCTAAAAAGTACTATAACATCCTATTTTACCATGCTAAAAATCTCCAATTTATTTAAAACAATATCAATATAACAGTGTCAAGATATTGTTTATTACGAAGAGCTAAACTTACAGCTTCTTTGGTAAATTAAATAACATAAATATACCTTTTTACCTAGTACGTCAACGTTTTCATCGCTTTATAGTTCCATTAACTGACTCTAAATATCTGTCTGCCTAGTGATGCGTGGAATGAGAAAGTGACTCTAAATATCTGTCTGCCTAGTGATGCGTGGAATGAAAAAAACTCTTCTTAGAAATATTCGACGAAATTCTATGACATCAAATTTTTGCTTCACTGTTTTTGTGATTTACAGCGGGCATCTATCTGCCGCGTCTCCGATTTTCCTCCTGCTTTTTGGAACTGAAAGCTTCCGACTGCATAGGAGGGCGATGTAACGAACAAATTGTTGACGTGTCATTGTTCCCGGAGCCACAGAGACACCTTCTTGAAGAACCCAGGAAAGCGTTCCTCATTGGAGGAATAACTTATTTCGGTTCTGGGGAGTGGCTGCAGAAAACCGTGGAAGCCAAAGTAGGTCACCACTTGCTGTTTTGTGCTTGATCTTTTTTTCACCTTTTGTCTCCTTTCTCTCTTTCAAAAGAAATAATTTTATCTTTGAAAAATTATATCACCCCCACCCCCCATCCCCCACCCTACATACATATCTACGATTGTTTTGTTTAAATATCTTGGGGGGTTTTTCTTCAAATATTGATTGATCTTCAAATATTGATTGATTAAATCAACGTGTCTCACGCCCCATTGACACAACAGATCACCAAGAAGACAGGCCACTTCAATCCAGGCAGAGTGGGTCATAGCACATATAGCAAAGGGTATGTTTCGAGTTCTGTTTGATACTTAAAATATTATTTTGCCCTATTCTCTATTAAAAGAGGATTCTCCATGCTATCATACTGCTAAGATGCAAAGCATCGAAATGATAGCGAAAATGCGTTAACAAATTTAACGAATTCTCATCTATGGACCTAATCGTTTAGTGAACAATGAGATCTAAATACTATTGTATAACGCAAACATCGAAATGATAACCGAAATAAAGATAAACACCTATGGGTGGGCCCCAAACGTTTAATTATTAAAAATATAGTTATATAGGGAACAAGAGCCGCGATACGTTTCATCATTCTGGCATTTTTTCAGCTGACTCTGGAGGACGTCCTCTACAGCCAGTGCCATGTGTACACAGACCCCCACGTGATCACATTGGATGGGAAGTGAGTCATACACACTTGTCAGTCGAGCTTGCTCTAACGACCTCCTGTATAAGACAATGTCTTGTAAAAAGGTTAAGTTATGCGTCGGTGGCTTTTCTTTGTCAGAAAAAAATAAAAGTAAGTAAGACTTTTCTTTGTCAGAAGGCAAAAACCATTACAACATAAAGTGTTATATTTTTCTTTTTTTTCATTTCTTTTTTTGGAGGGGGAGGGGTCGTTATAAGATATACTGAAACAGTTGAGCTTCCTGTTGTATCAAGTACAGAGCTCTTACGTAAAGTAACAGTCGAGACACATCTTTTGTTACCACAAAGATCAAAGAGGAGGAGGAGGAGGAGGAGGAGGAGGAGGGGCGTGGGAGGGGTTAAAGTGAAAATATCTTTGTGGATATGTAATTTTAAAAAACCAGTTTCGATGGATCCGGTTAAAGATACACATTTCGAGCTCCTTCCCCTGTGAAGGAATTGACCGTTTTATCCATTGTACAGTGTCGTGCGACTCCTTTTAGACCTTAAATGTATACCTCTTTTAAAGAATTCTCTTTGTCAAGCTATACGTTTCTCAGAGTCCTATTTTACGCTGTGGAAATCTCAGGTATTTATGATAAAGGTATTATTAAATATTCAAGGTGTCCTAGTTGAGTGGTGCCGCCTCGAACATGCAATTAAAGACATGGAAAGTTCATTTCTAGGCCCTGTTGGGCAGGACGATATAATCCTCATAAAAGGTACCTTACCTTGTTTTTCTCAATTCACCGAGTTGAAAATGGGTATTCAGCCATCGGCAGAGATAAAATCTATGAATGGCAGCAGCAGCAGTAAGCAATTAACGGGCGTCTCTATGCTGTATGCCCAGTGGGGGACCGAAATGGGAATTTGAAACGATTAGGCCTGACCGACATAGTTATGTAAGTGATTGGTGGGGCTATGGTGTGGTTTGCCCATACTTTCTTATCAAACATCTATCGCGCTTATCTTCGTTTCCCTTTCTTGTGTTTGTTACTCTCTTGTAACACCTCTAATCTTCGGCATTTATATGACTTTACTGTGTTGCAAGTGCCATAAAACACTTACTAAACGACGAAATTATTATGAGGTCAGGTGAGCAATTTTAGAGGGACAAGCACTTTAAGATTTTAAAACTTACACATTTCAGAGTATACAACATCTACAGACGAGGTACATTTGCTTTGTACAACGACAGTGCTCATAATTTTCAGGTGAGTTCACAACGCTTGTAGATGCTGTGTGATAAGATAAGATAAAATAAGATAGGATAAGATATGGTAAGAAGATAAGATGAGATAAGACTGGACGGGACAGGACGGGACGGGACCATAAGATGAGATGAGATGAGATTATAATGAGATGAGATGAGATAAGATTAGATGAGACGAGAGGAGATAATACTCTATTGTCACTCAATGCACTTGCGTCTGTGGCCACCGGTTTATGAATCGGGACAAAACAGAAAGTAATATGTGGAAATAATTTAACGTAACGCATTGCTCGTACTGATTTGAGGAAAACAATATCATGTTGCAGTTTTTATACCTCAAGGTACATGTTGGGTTTTTGGGTCCAGGCCAAATATCTCAGTTATTTAATGAGCAGATGCCTGAGGCGCAAGAGACGTGAAGAACGCCGTCTATAATGTAATGTGTGGGCTTTTTTTGGTTTGCACGCAGTTGACACGAATTTTTTTCCTAAGTAGGTAAGTCCATTTGTGAGGTAGCGTAGTGAAATCAGGCGCTCGTCAAAATACAGAATTGGGAGAAACAGGCATTTTTCTGCCAGTTTGGAATTTTTTATTAGTTTTTATTTTTGGTTCAACTTCTTTTATGTCCATATAAAATAAGCACATTTCCGTGTGAATTTTACTGAAAAACATTGATTAAAGGCAGAAAATATGTAAATTTTCTGTTTTTAAAGACTCTTTAGCTATTGGAATTACCAAAATTTGGCGGCCATTTTCTCGCCAATTGTACCACTAAAACTAGGCGACCTCGCCTCAATCAATCGTAAATGTCTTGAGTCCTATTTTTGTTAGATTTCATCAAAAGCAAGGCAAATAAATCAGCTTTCAGATGGTACCAATAACTCCACATGCTCAAAAATTGACGGGCGTCTGATTCCACCCCGTCGTTACACATTTCATTGAGTATCTACATCTTCTTGGAAGAAATGGTGCCACCCATTCAGACACAGCCCTGACGGGCAGGTTCGAAGTACACCACCTTGTAAACAATGGACACTGTGCCTTTGAGGGGCATACAACATTAAACACAAACATTTATAATCATGGACGTTAAAGGAATGGATAACCCATACCGGACACTGACTTCCCATAATGGGACGAGGCGGTGCACTCATTGACCCACGAACAAAGGAGGTTGCTTTCGACACACGTATTGATCTGTTTCTGTAATGTGCAGGCCACATGCAATCAGTCAAACTTTGTTTGTCTCCCAATGGTTCAGATTCGCAGTGAAATTGTCGCTTCTGTTTGTTGTGGTCGATTCAATTTCGTTGTTGCTACATTCAGAAGGGGAAACAATTGTGAGGCAGCGTGGTGGAATCAGGCTCTCGTCCATTTTTGGGCATGTAGAGTTATTGGTATCATCTTAAAGCTTGTTCATTTGTCTTGCTTTCAATGAAAAAATTACCCATCCATCTTCAATAGAAGTGGAGACATTTTGGATTGAAGAAGGTGGAGGTCACCTGATTTAAGAGGTAAAATTAGCGAGAAAATGGCCGTCAAACCTTGGTAAATTCCAAAGCTGGAGAGTTCATGGAAACTGAAAATTTACATTTGTGTGTCTTTAATCAACGTTTTCGGTGAAATCCTCCAAGGAATGTGTTTGTAAAGGGACATAAAAGGTGTTGAGCCAAAGAACAAAAATTTGAGAAAAATTGCTAAGCATTGAGAAAACTGCTGTTTTCTTCGATTTCATTATTTTGACGAGAGCCTGATTCCACCACGCTGCCTCACAATTATTGTCTGAGCATCTTTAACTTCAAGGAGTCTCTCTTTCTCTATCTCTGCCTGTCTTTGTGCGTCTGTCCGTCTCTCTCTCTCTCTCTCTCTCTCTCTCTCTCTCTCTCT